ATCACATTTTAGTGCATTTGGAGCACCTTGGCTGAGAGGTGGGGGCCCCCACCCTTGCCCCTGCGGTGGTGCTTCCTGTTTGGCACATTCTGGTCCAGGCCTGGTGCTGCAGGAAGAGGACACGGTCAGGAGACCTTGCCACTGGCTCGTCACCCAGCCCTGTGACCGTCAAGCCACTTCGCTACTCTGAGCCTCAGGTTCCTGTTCAGAACCCTGAGGACACCTTCCTAAATCACGTCGAAGCCCCTTCCCACCTTAGCAACCCAGCAATGCTGCAAGCACTTTGGACCGTGCACTGAGGTGGTCAGCGGTGTCTGCAGGGCAGGCTCAGGTCAGACCATCGGTTTCTCCGACACAACCTGACGGATGGCCTGCTGGGCTGGGTGCGGGCCTGGTGCTGGGTGCACCAGCCGGTGGCTCGGCCCCTGCTGGGGAGAATCAGGGGTCGAGTGGGGGAAGATAAGCAGTCTCAGTAGAACTTGGCCTCGGCTCCAGGAGCTGTCTGCCCCGGGGGCTGTGGGCCCCGGAGGGGGCAGTGGAGGAGCCGGTCCCACCTGCCAGGACTGAACACTCAGAAAACAGGCCCCCCTTCTTGCTGTCCAGACAGCACTGTTTGAACACGTCAGTGTTATTTTTGATAAAAGGTACAGATATTCTTGGCTTCCTTGAGACAGTAAAAGGGCGTGAGCATGTTTTATGCATGAAGGCCAGCATTATTTTGTGATAGCCGCCTGGAAATAGGCTTCTGCGGTCAGGCCATTTATTTTAGAATGGGCTCTGGAGGTCTGGCGAGTAAATAGAACACAAAAATGAAGAACCGGGTCCAGAGAAGGTGCACCCAAGAACGGGAGGGAGACCCTGTCTGCGCACGTCACAGTCTCTCGGGCCCTTCGAAACCGTCAGAGCTGGAGTCCTGGGGGAGTGGGCGTCTTGGCTATTTTGAGCCTGTTAAGCACTGGGACCCTCTTTTCCGCAAAAGTCACCTGAGTCGGGCTAGTTTTCACCACCACTGTCTAGGGAACCACACAGGGTGCAGAGCTGGAGAACCAAATGGTCGAGAGCGTGGGTGCCAAGGCCAGACTACCAGGGCTCCAGTTCTGGTGTTGCCTCTTCCTGGCCGTGCACCTCACCAGGCTGTCGTGACGCCTGGATGAGCCGACACAGCCAGAGATCCTAGTGCACGGCAGATGCCGTACTGGTGACAGGGCAGCGGTCCCTGGGTACAGCCACTGTCGCCACTGCCATGGCATCTCGACCCTGACCACATGGCCCGGTTCTTCCAGAAAGCTTCCGGAGCCCCATCCCCTTCAGGAGGACTTCCGATCTATAGCCCCGGCAGAGGGCGGAAGGGCGGGTGGCCTTAGGGAGACGTCCTTCCAGGCACTGTGGGCCTCTGGCTTGGTCAGAGAGGGGAGGCTGCCCCCACCCACCCACCCCCCATTCCTAGTTCTGTGCCCAGGCTGGAAGAAAGCTCATTCACAGCTCACTTTTGTAAGACAGGCAGCCATTTACAACATCCTGACACCCGCCCCCCAAACAGTGGGCCCGTGTAAGTGCAATAATAATGATCATGATGACAAACAGCAGTAAAACTGAATGACACTGGCCCGGCTGGGGGTCTGTCTTTGAAGCTGAAGTTCAGCCTCCCACGTGCTACCGGAGGTCTGCCAACTGGAGCCCCTCTTGCCAGGTCCGCCTCTCCTTTTGTGAGTCCTCTGCTGTGAGAAACCATCACAGCCCCTTGCCTGGGGTGTCAGGCAGTGCCCCTGCCCCACCCCGCCCCCGGGCTTGGCTGTAAGCCTCCATTGGCCCACAGGTGCCAGAGGCACCTGCTCCAGTGGGGGCAGATGCCAGTGAGCCTCACCGCCCATTCTGTGTCCTCTGGGCCTGGTCCTCCGCCCAGGGCTGGCTCCCTAGGCCATCTGGAGCCGGGGCGAGGGTCCGGTCCAGCACATCCAACAGAAATAAATGCAAGCCAACTGCACTTAGCAACCACATTTTAAAAAGTTAAAAGAGAAGTAAGCAAAATGAATTTGAACATATTTTAGCCCAAGATATCCAGAATAAAAGCTTATGAATGAGATGTTCTGCATTTCCCAGCCTCTGCGTCTCTGGGATCTGCAGCGCCATCTACACCCAGCGCACACCTCCGCATGCACGGGGCACCCCGCGCTCAGTGGCCAGGCACAGTCCTCACAGCGCACAGGGGACAGTGCGACCGGCTTCCTGAACCTCTCAAGCATCTAACTGTTCCCCTCAAAGGGGGCTTGCTAACGCTGTTTCCCTTTTGCAGTGAGAGTCTGGGTAATGTATGGGGGATGTATGAATAGCAGCTGGTCATTGAGGGGAAAGTATGCTTTGTTCTAAAAGGGAATTTGCGTTGGTAAGTTGCCCCCAGATTTGTGACAGACCTTCGGACCATCCCACGTTCTCTGGCACATGAGCCGTGGTGACAGACAGTGGGCTTCTCCGTTGAGGCGGGGAGTGGGAAATGCCCCCTTGAAATCCTGAGTCCCGTCCTGTTGTCTCCAGGCACCACCGTGATCTGTGACTCTGTATCCTCGGCCCGGCGGCTGAGCTGGCGGGCTCGGGGGACTGACCAATGCTGTCGCCAAGAAGAACGAGCTGTTGGCACGTGGCCTTCTGCTCTGGGAGGCCGTGGGGGACAGAGGGGGCGTTAGCTACAGGAGTCATGGAGTTTGGTGCTGTGGGAATTGAAAATGAAGAGCAGGTTGGACCAAAGTTGACAAAGTCAAGAAGGAAGAAGAAAAACTTCAGGTGGCCCTGGCTTTTAGGGTTTGTAAATCATTCTCACCAGAAACAGGGTTCCTATGCCCTTGACTCCTAAGCTTTCCAAACTCGGGCAGCCTTTCCCACCACCCACATGCAGGGGTCCAGGCATTACGACTGTGCGGGTATTTGTGGGATACTGGGTATGAGATAGTGAGCCCCCCCGTTCCTCGGCATCATGATTCACACAGCAGCGTGGCGCCTCAGCTGTGCGCGTGTTAAAAACCAACTTACTAAAACACTGGTTGTTGGAAACAGACCGCAGGGAAGCTTTTAATATAGTTGCAAGAACAAATTTTATTCGCATGCTTTTGAAATATGATTACTAAACCGAAACAATGCCTTCAGATCTCTTGAATCCTCAAAGCCCTTTGATTTAACATTTTCTGTATTTGAAAGCCCTAAGTCGTATTTTTAAAACAAATGTCAGTATCCAGAGCGCCACCTGTGAACAGATGGGCTTTCAGGCAGGTGTCCCAAACTCCTTACACCTCGGTTTTCTTGCCTGTAAAATGGGAACCATGGCAGTGTCTGCCTCGTTGGATCGCACACAGTGTGGAGAGCGTTGGGCGGATGGTCAGTGCTCCGCGGGTGTGCTCATGTCCTCCCAAAGGCACTCTTCGTGGTCCTGCTGCTTGACCACAACAGGCTTCGATCCAGTGATGTCCTGTCTGGGAGTCATTAGATAATAGATTAGAGACTCATTTTGGCAGGTTTTTTGGGTGCTGTGTGTGTGTGTGTGTGTGTGTGTGTGTGTTCTCCAAGTTTCCAAAAAAGAACAAGTGTAATTTTAAAAAGAAATGAAGGCCTCCTTTTGTTTATTATTCTCCCGTCACGGAAATGAGCCATAGAGCCGCCCAGTGCAAATCTGTGCCCCCCTGTCGTCACCCACACCGGAGTGAGCGAGCCCGGGGCCCTGCCCCTCTGGTCCCGCAGCGGGAGATCCTAGTGGCTCATTAACGGAAGGGAGACGGGCAGGCTGGCAGGAAGCTTGTTTATGTCCCAGGACGTTTGATTAGACCTACTGGGCCAATAAAAAAATACCGCACCACATGTCAAAGTCAAATTCGCATGCAAAGCAGCAGAGTGGTTGTGCCGAGTCCCTGGTAGTCTGTCTGCATGTCGAATCCTGGGCACGATCAGGCACCTGGGGATTGTGTGCATTAGGTGCTCAGCCGGCCTGCCCGGCAGCAAAGCCAGGGTTTTAATGAGCCAGCGGCACTTAGGGATTCGAGCCAGCGCCGCGCCCACCCGTCCTCGAGAGGAGGTTGCAGGGTTGCTCCAGGGCTTCTGGGGACCACGAAGGCAGAGGGCGAAGGGAAGGGGGGTCCCCGTCGGCCCGTCACCCAGCTTCAGCGGCCACCAGCATTTTCACCTGCTCTTCCCCCACCTATTTCACTGACACATTTAAAACAAATCTGAGATTTCATTTTACCCATAAATGCTTCACCCCTCATACATTTCACTCAAAAATGCACTCATCTCAGACTGAAAAGGACACTCTTTAATCGTGATACCGTTTATCCTGCCTGACAGTTCCTTAATGTCACCTGGTGTCAGGGTCGTATTTAATTTTCCCAGTGTCTGCTTTACAGTTGGTTAGTTAGAATCAAGATCAGACAATCCCAAGCATTACATTTGGTTATTGTACTTTATGTCTCTCTGAAAGCAGTTTGAAACCTCAGTCATTCAACAATCTTGTACCTCTATGTGCAATACCAGAAAACTAGAGTTTTTATTACTCCTCCTTCTCCTGCTCCTTGTTACTGTTCCATAATCCTCTTCGTCTTCATCGCTTTTAGAGAAATTGTCACGTAGCTTCATTTTCTTATATATCAGACCCTCGCTTCAAATGACCTCTGCATTTTCTAAAAATTAAATCCACCTCAGTGTCCAAATATTTTTCTCCAACAAGGATCATCAAATCTACCTTCAGACAGCACCATGGCATCCCGGGGGGGCCGGGGGGGGGAGGGGGGCGGGCGGGGAGGGGAGGCAGAAGGCAAGTTCCAAACAGGTTTTGGGCAGTGAATCGGGGCCAGTGGTTCTCAAGGTGCCTGATTTGAGGCTCTGCCCTGGGTGCAGAAATCAAAGACATTGTCACCCCCTTATTTGCAAACTGTGTAAATGCCCACAGGTGTGACTTATAACCTGCTCTAGCACAAGATTTTTGATTTGCCACTGACTAATTGGTGTTCATTTTCCCACAGATCATCGCCTACCAGCCGTATGGGAAGTCCGTGGACTGGTGGGCCTACGGCGTCCTGCTGTACGAAATGCTGGCCGGGCAGGTAACGTCTCACCGTGCTCTCCTGCTGCTTCTCTGTCCTCTGGTGTGAGTGCTTCGGCTCGGGTGGGGGCCGGGCACTGTGGTGTGGCTGGTGCCGGCCGGCTCCCTGGGCCCAGGTGGAGGGGGAGACGCTCCCCTGAGAGTGGGTTCTATGCACACGGGCAGAAACCCAGGTTTCTCGTCCCAGAAACCTGCACTGACAGGTACATCCCGGAGTACAGACAATGTGCAGCTTTCACATTGTACACAGGCGCCCCTGTATGCCGATGACGACCCAGGCCCCTGTCATCCGCCGTGTCTCAGACCCGGCTTAGGCTCCCTGTGAGTACGTCTGCAGAACCCCGGTGCCACCCATGTGTGTGCGCGCCATCATGGAAGACGTGCTCCAGTAGCTTCTCCCATCCCCTCTTGTCCACCATCGGCAGTTCATCTAACTTGTGTAAAAGTCCAATGAGGCTGAGCTTCCAGCTGAGGAAAGACACGTGTGGTTTTCTCTCAGGAATGTGACATATCAGATAACCAGGTGCATCACTGTCTAGCACGGCGCTTGCCGAGGTGATGGCCTCATATCTGCGTCGGAGTAAGTCCCAGCAGCCCTTGCCACAAGCCACCTCAGAATCTCAGTGGGCTAACACACAGCACAGGGGTATTTCACATTCTTGGCGCATGCCTGTGTGGGGGCAGGGGCACGGATCCCATGGTCATTCAAGGACCCAGGCTTCTTCCACCCATTGGCTCCACCTTCTGGAGCCTCGGGTTCCTCCACTGACCCCTCACTACTCAGCCAGCGGTGAGGAGAGAGCAGGAGGACAGCTGCACCTGTGCCCTCAGGCCCATGCCTGCAGGTGGCACGCAGCACTCCCACCTGCAGCATGCTGGCCCCACAGAGATGCAGTGCAGAGGGCTGGAGGTAGTGTGCACCTGTGAGCTCGGCAGGAGGAGGCGGGTTTGGTGAGCATCTACCCGATCCCTGCCATCGCACTTCAAAACGATTCTGTTGTGGCTGCTTTTATAGTTGCCAGCTCCCCCATAGCTAAGAGCCTGAGTAAGGAGAATAGAAAGAAATGCTTGTGTTGCATAGCAGAGCTACACCCCCCCCAAAAAAAGTCTTTAAATCTTTGCTTCTGAAAAGAAGTTACCCTTTCTGACAACTTACATCCATTGATTCGTTCATTTATTCTTGCAACACGCACTTACGATGGTAACAACCGGGAACGAAGGTCTGTACCTTCACAAAGCTTACAGTCTACAGAAAGACAATAGGCAAGGTAAATAAGGGAAATGTGTAACAGTTGGAAAGCTAAGAAGAAAAGTAACCAATCAGGAAAAGAAGGCATAGTGTTGGAGAAGGGCTGAAATTTTAGCTGGGAAGGCCAAGGAGGGCCTTGTGTACAAGCCAAGTTAGGACGAAAGGGAAATGAGGGAATGTCCGTGTGTATATCTGGGGGTAAGCAGATGCAAAGGCCCTGGGGTGGGACTAAGCTACCATGTTTAAGCACTGGAAGGGAAGTCGCCAGTGTGGTTGGAGCAGAGCAGGGAGGCCTGTGAGGGAGCAGGTGGTGGGAGGAGGAGGAGGAGGCCCAAGGTCGGAGACAAAGGAGACGCACCAGGTCACATGTGCGTGGGGATCATTGCAAGGCCTTTGGCCTTCCCTTGGGGTGGGAGGCCATGGAGGATCTGTCTCTCTCATTGTGTCTTACATCTTTCAGATACTAAAGTAGTCTTTTAGATGTTAAAAGATGTACGGTACTAGCCTACATTTGGTCATTATTTCTCCGTGATGTTAAGATGGGATTTATATTTTAAAAAGTGGTTTGTGTATTATTTAGGTTTTTGTCCCTAGTACCATGTTTATTTTAGGCCAAATGCCTCCATTTGTAAACACAGAAGAACAGGTTATACAGAACAGCTGTCAGGGAAATAACAGCTGGCAAAACACAAGTCTCCCGCTCCCTGAGTTAATTTCCCCTCTTTAGAACTTTGACGCTAAAATTGGACTGAATTATCGGCCCCCTGGGGGCCGTGCTGTTCCCAGAAGCACAGAAAGCTGAGTTCCCCTCCTCGATCCCACTTGCATGTCCTGACTCTTGAGTCCGGAAAACAAGCTCTGCTTTCATGAAGAGGCACATTTGCATATGCCAACAAACAAAATTGGTTGGGTGGAAATAGGATCTGTTTCCAAGGGCACTTTACAAGAGCTGAAATGAGCTGTCTCTTTATTGGCCGGCAGGAGACTAGCATTTCGGGACCCAGGCCTGCAGTGAAGTCCCCTCCACCCCGTCTTCCTCCTCCTCCAAGTTTCCCGGGTCTGTGTTCTGCAGGGGAGAGCGCAGGAGATGCAGCTCTCCTTCGGGGAGGTCCCCTGGGGGGGGGGGGGGTGCATTCTGAAGGCCCGCCTCCTCTGCAGCCGGTCCTTCCTTCCTCACCCCTGGAGAGCCCAGGGCCCTCCCCCACCCCGTGGTTCCACAGACATTCTGGCACATTTTCATTATTTTTCATCCTGTTCCTCTGGGTCAATGAGCCTGCCTTATATGATTTCTGGAAGTGTCCACCATCTCTGTCGGACACGGGGAGACTCTCACTATGGCACCTGAACGTTGGCCCACGTCCGGGTGCACTGGCGGACACAGCCACTGCTCCTTCCTCAGAGCCTCCGCTGTGCTGCCCAACATGGTGTCTCCACCTCAGACCCCGTTCCTCGCTTTGCTCCCCGACCGGATGCAAACTTGAACATATTCCTGGGCAAGGACAATGAAGGCTCCACATGTACTGTCCACACTGTCCCCCTCCCCCGCCTGGAAGCTGCAGGAACCTCAGAGACCCAGCGGAGGGAATAGACACTGTTATTGAAAAGTAAAACTAATTAGAAAGTTGCTGGTGGGGCTGTAGTCTAAATCTGTCCTCTTTAATCAAGAGAGCTGAAGATGAGCAGAAAAAAGTTTATTGCTGTTTTCTTCTTATTTGCTTTATTTATTGTGAGCAGCCAGCAGGGGCAGTTAAGTGTAAACAGCCCGAGGCCGTCTTCAGTTCCCGGGTGGCTGGACAAATACAAAGACTTTGGGGCACAAGTTGTGTTTGCCCGGCACTCGAACCGGCTACCCCTACCCCCACTCCCAGCTTTCGTGGGCATTCATCATAAAGGGGCCGGCCCTCTCCTCTCGAGTCCCTTTCTGCCAGGGCTATTAATGCTTTGTCCTTATTCCTGGTGAATCGGTAATGGGTACTATATCCCAGAACATCAGCCTGAAAGTCCTCGAGTACTCTCCCTGCCCCCTGCTCCCCGCCCCCCGCCCCCGGTCATCAGTGACCTGCAAGTGGACATGGCAGGCCCAGTGGCCACCTACTAGTGAGCGACCTTGGGATCATTTTGGAATGAGTCCTTCATCCTTCGTTTGCCTGCTTAAAATTCACAAGTTACATATTGCCAAGGATGGCACCCCCAAGCCAAGGCCTGAGTTTAGCTTGAAACACTGAGTCCAGATTGGTAGAAATTTAAAAATAATCCTGGGAATGGGGGGAAGAGGGGAGAGAAGCAACCCAAGATGGTCATGCCCTGAGTACTTCGGCAATGCGTGGCCCCCTGGGGTCCCCAAGCTCTGTAGCTGGCGCGTCTGGGAAGGAAAGTGAACGTGATTATGACTTCTCCGCGTGGACCTGCCTCCGACACCAGGCCTGAGACGAACGATCACCTGTGAGAACGTCCCAGGGCGACCAGGAAAGGCGGAGGGAGAGCCAGAAAAATGTTCACGTCCTTCGGCTGCTTAATCCCACACCTGGGAAATCATTCTGGGAAGTAATTCAGAGAAGAAACAAACGATACACAGAGACGTTTATAGTAGCATTTGTTTGCGCTGGAAGCGATTATAAATGTGCCTTGGACAGATGAGTCGGCCTAGGATGGCGTGTCCCCCAGCGGCACTAATCTGACTGGGAACACTGGTAGCTGCAGAGAAAATGTGTTTGCAACAGCAAGTGAAGAGCAGACTACTCCAAATTATGTTTCACCACTCGAAAATGATATGAAAAGCCACAGGGTACACAGAAAAATAAGAGCAACGTTCGAGTCAGGGTAAGAGGGATGTGGATGCTACTTTCATGGGCTTCCCCTCCCCCCAAGAATACACCATTTCAATTTCATATAGGGCTCCGGGGAGCTTTTCCAAGTGTGGTGGTCACTACTGCTGTTCCCCAGGTATTCGGGGTCTTCTTCCTTCTGGCACATGTAGGATGTTACCCCCGGCTCCCTTGTGATTGGGTGGGTGGGACGTGGGACTAGTTCTGACCAATGAGGTCTGGGTGGATGTGCTCCCAGGAGGAGCATTTGAGTGCTCGAGCGAGATACCTCAGAGCCCCTGTTCTGGCTCTGCCACAGCAAGACCAGGTGGCGCTGCTCCACCAGCGTGGGCGACTGGGCGCCTCTGCCGACCCACAGTGAACGTGTGGCCTGAGCAGGAGGCAGCTAATCCACATTTGGGCTGGGGGATCATGTCAGGTCTCTAGTCTAGAGGTAGTCACATGCTTCACAGTGACCGGAAACATCCCAGGCCCCAGTGTCTGCCCCCCTTTATTTTCAGAGGTCCCCACTACCCATTGCACAGGACGTGAGTCAGGCTTTTTAAAGTTTATCGGAACAGTCTCACCGGAGCGGTGGAGATCTCTTCCTGTGCTGCGTGCACCAGCAGCCCAGCGCCTCCCCCTCACTCCGACAGCTGCAGCACCAGGGGCATCAGCACGGTCTGACCACCGGGACATGCATGGGAAGTGGCATCGCCCAGACTGGCTGCGAGTCCAAGCTCCCAAGTCAGGGTGCCTGGGCTTGCTTCCTGGCTCTTGGACACTCCAGCCCTGTAACTCTGGCCAGAGCACTCAATGGAACCTCAGTGACCTCCACTGTGCAATGGGATTAATGGCACCTGCGTCATGTGGGGTGTTTGGAGGAATGAGGGGGTAAGGCCTTCCAACTGCCCCGCAGCGTGCCGGGCACAGAGGAGACAGAGCCTGGGACGTGAATGTGACTGCCGCTGTCGTCCTCCGTGCTGCTCTCCCAAGTGCCGGCCGTTCTTCCGTGTCGAGCAGTGTGGACTCACGGGAGTGACAACAGAACTGCAGGGGTCAGGACCTGTGTCCTCCCTGGGAGAAGCCCCCGTCCTTAGAGCCACACGGGTGGGACACGGGGTAAAACCCCAAGTCTCTGACACAAAGACAGGTGGTCTTGTGGCTTCTGTTATATTGTAGGAACCTTATTGCGACAGATGAGCCTGAGAGGCCTCTACGGACCCCCACCCCTCACTGTAATGGTCCGAGTTGGGTTAGACAGCTCTCTTTACTGCAGGACTTCTCAGGGCCTTTAGAACATATCCATGCGAATCTCCGGAAAAAAGTTTGCAGGTGCAAACTTGACCCGGAAATATCCTGAGGGATCAATGTCCTGAGGAATGTTCTCTGGGCATGTCAGGGGCTATCTATCCTGCCCTTGGTGAGGATACAGCTGTTGCTGCGTGGTTAAAAAAAAAAAAATCTTCCTTTGACCTGCAGTGGGCCTGGCCCAGCCGTATCTGTTTCAGAAACCAGCACACGTGGGGAGGCTCCCTGGGCAAAGCTGGCTCCCGCGCCAGAAGACTGAGAGGCAGGCATCAGAGCCAGAGCCCCGCCCAGAACGCCCTGACAACTCCTGTCTCTCACATTGCGGGGGGGGGAAAGAAGGGCTCTGGCCTCACTGACCTCGTGGTCTTCAGTGAGGAGGGCCTTCTCACTGCCTCGCTTGAGGAGGATTCCTGAGAAGTGTTTGCTAGGGTTTTTCTTTGGACAAAGGTTTTGTTAGGCCTATGGCTTGGATTACCTGTCACTTGGCCCCTGTGGTGTTCCTGCCACTGGTTCTGAGCGTCACCAGGGAGGCGGGGTGAGTCCCCCTGGTGTCTTCATCATTGTCAGTGAAGCACACCAGCCGCCCCCTGCAGCCGACTTCATGGGTGTGTGACCTATGCGGTCACATGGGGCCCAAGCTCAGAAGACACCTGCACATCAGGTTTAGTGCTCTGCAGTCTTGTGAGGGACCCCTCATTTTCACTTTGCTCTGAGACTCACAAATTGTGTAACTCATCCTGACCAGTGGCCCCGAGGAGCCACACTGGGAGCACCGACTGGCTATCCGGAAGCAGGGCCTGCTCACCTCCAGGGCACCGTGACATTGCAGAGTGCGTACACGCAGCGAATTCGGAGCAGGTGGGGGCCCTGAGCAGAAACCACACCACGTTTGTTTTAGTTACGAAAATCTCATTGGCCAAAACACGGCCACATACATGGATCGCTTGTCAGGGAAAACGAGATGTGTTGTGGTTGGTGTGCAGCGGGTGGTCAGAGGAAGTAGGCTGCAGGACATCAGGGGAGAAGGGTCTGTGGGGTGGACTGTAGGACTGGCCTCCACTGGAGCTCTTGCTGGCTGCAGCCACACCCATCCCCCAGCCTGCCCTGCTCTGCTCTGCAGGTAGAGGCCGCACATCCCCTGCCGACGCAGGTGACCATCCGCAGCCTGCGTTCCCTGCTGGGGTGTCTGCCCCCAGCTGACGTGCCTGGTGGGCACCCCAGGTGCCAGGTGCTGTGGCACTTCTGCCCATGGGGACTCTGTTCCTGCTCTGCTCTGCGTCACTCACAGGCAGGCTGATTTTCATTCTCTCGCCCTCCTCATGCTCCCACCAAATTAGACATTCTTAATGCCAGGCACTTACAGCCGGAAAACAGGCCTATTTATACTCTTAGACCAAGGGGGAAAAAAAAAGCGTATATGGCATCAGTCACCCCACACCTGGCCCAAAGGTAGGGTTCTTTATAGACTTGGCGTCTTTCCCACTGGTGGGTATGGCTCCCGTGTGCTGACCCCACTCCCAGCGCCTGTTCAGGGCTGTGGTTGGGGCAGAGGAGGGAGGTGGGGGGCCAGAGAACAGGTCGGGGTGGTTGTGAGTGGTGGGTAGGGGAGCTGGCCTCTCTCACTCAGGGGGGCTGTTTGACAGGAAGGGACAGCCGTCCCACTGGCGACTACACAGTTGTCTTTGGTCCACGAGATAGCCTAAACGGAAGCCCAACTCTGCTGTTATCTGAGCCCTAACCTCATCAGCCACAGTGATTGTAAGCCCTCCTTATAATGAGAAGGAAAACACAAGGTGAAATAGGATTCTCTCTACATGGGCTGACCCTGGTCTGCCTTTTCATGCTAAGTTTGAGGTTAGCTAAGTTAAAGGAGAACATTAAGCCATTTTTCCTAAGCCCATCGATGCTGTGGGTTGTCCAGAGTGACAGGTAATTTGCTAATCCCAGGACTGAGGGCATGCTGGGCTCACCCGTTCCTCCTGAGGTTCGCAGTGCCACCCCCGCCAGCGAAGACACTCCGTCCACCTCAATAACAATACTAGTACCGCTAAGCACCCTTCATTGGGCCCTTACTGGGTACAAGACAAATATCAGGCGCTTTACAGACTCACCAAGGAACCCCACTGTGCAGACGGGAAAACTGTGTCTTAAAGAGGTGAGCCACTTGCCTCTGGACAACCAGCTAGGGGGTGAGGGGGCTGCAGTTCTGGTTTAGACCTACCTGACTTCAAAGCCATGACCTCCCACAGTGCATCTGTGCCCCCACTCCCCACTCGGGGACGCAGACCCGATGGAAAAGGACAGGGCAGCGTCCAGGGTGGCTCCATGTTGGATCCAAGGGGCCCGAGGAAGTCCTCTTTGGCCACATGCTGGTGTCCACTTAACCCCGTGTTCAGAATCTGAAGGCATCAGCATTTGCCATGCCCCCACCTTTTGAACAGTCATCTGTAAGCTGACTTGATGGTAATTAGACTTTTAACACATAATTACAAGACTAATGGATGAATTATAATTCACTTGCAAATCGCTCAAAGCATTACTCAAAAACATTTTTCTTAAAGATTGTTTCGAGTTGCCCCGGGTAAGATAATTAAAGGCACAGGAAAAACAGAGACACACAACCTGCAGCCTAATTACAGACCATCAACTAAACCCGCCGGCGACCGCGCTGCCTCTGCAGCCTGCGGAGCTTCTTGGCGTTGAGCTGGGGCTTCAGGCGCCACGTTAATAAATTGCCTCAATGTTTTGCCTCCTCCTCTTTTCTGGAATAGCCTCCGTTTGACGGCGAAGATGAAGATGAGCTGTTCCAGTCCATCATGGAGCACAACGTCTCGTACCCGAAGTCCCTGTCCAAGGAGGCCGTTTCCATCTGCAAAGGGGTGAGTGGGTGTGGGTTCCCGCTGCGCTCCATCACGGCCCGGAAGGGTCAACGGGCACCGTTCCCAGGCTTCTCCAAAGGAGGGCAGAGAGACCGCAAACCAGCGCCACTGCCTCCGGCCACTAAGAGCTAGAGCTGGGTGACCTGCAGGGTGTGGTGGGGAAAGCGAAGGCCTGGAAAGTGGGTCAACACCCCAAAACCTCTGGAAACCCTGGCCCAGTCAGCGTTCGTTTCCCATCCACCTCATGGGTCCTGGTGCAGGTCGCCGAAAGTGACCTTGAACAGTTAGAGGATGTCCGTGCTCTTCGTCGCCTCCCTTGGCACGGGCCCAGTCAGTCCCGTGGTCGCCTCTCCGTTTCTGAGATGTGCGGGTGATGCACGTATAGAAAAGGGCACAGGTCATCAGGGCGCAGGTCAGCAAACTGTCCCCAAAGGAGCACACCCACGTAACTGCTCATCCCCCGCACCCCAGGAGCCCCCTCCCCTCCCGCCTTGTCGTCCCTCCCGGCCTGCCCCTGCAGAGGTGGGCCATGCCTGTTTGAACTTGGCACACCTGGGGTCTTGCCCGCCTGGGCCTGGCTTTGCCCCTCAGCATGGTGCTGGTGAGGCGTCCCGGCGTCCTGCACGCGGTTGTGGCTGCCTTCCGCACCCTGGGCACACTCCCCGAGAGAACACAGCCCCGCCTGTGCGTCCGTCCGCCGCTGGTGGGTGCGAGGGTCATTTCCTTGTGACTTGGGGCAGTTCCAAGTACACTGCCCTGAGGCTTCTGGGTTATGTGTTTTGAGGAATATGGGAACGGATTTTCTGCTTATTTTTGTCTGCTTTATTAAGGTATCATTGACAAAATTGTAACATATTTAAAGTGTGCAGCGTGATGACTTGATATGTGTGTACAGTTGGCCCTTCATAGCCACGCCTTCCTGCTCTGCAGAGTACACCAACCACAGGTCAGGAAGATCCCAAAAGAGCAGTTACGTGGCTGCTGACATGCATTCGGGAGTCAGGCCCACGATGGCCGTGTCTACACTGAACATGGACAGACTTTTTTCTTGTCAATGCTTCCTAAATAGCACAGTATGGCAGTTCATCACATAGTGTTCACACGGCGTTAGGTAGCATAGGTAACCTAGAGGTGACTTAGGGCATTCGGGAGGCTGCACGCAGGTGCTGTGCAGACACTGTGCCCTTTCATGCATGAGGGACTTGAGTGATGGGGATCTCGGTGTCCACAGGGCAGTCCTGGAACCAGTCCCCCGCTGATACCGAGGGACAAGTGTACGTTATGAAAGGGCCCCACAGTCAGGCTGACTCACTCATCACCTCGCATAGTTACTTTTGTCCCTGAAGTTCTACTCCCTTGGCACATTTCAGTCACACAATACATTATCATCAACTGTGGGCACCACGACACACATCAGCTCCTTTCTCCTGCCTCCTAGCTGATGACCAAGCATCCAGGCAAGCGGCTGGGCTGTGGGCCTGAGGGAGAGCGGGACGTGCGCGAACATGCCTTCTTCCGGAGGATCGACTGGGAGAAACTGGAGAACCGGGAGATCCAGCCGCCCTTCAAGCCCAAAGTGGTGAGTCAGGGGCAGGCCTGTGTCTGAGCCGTGCTTCCCCAGATCCCAGAGGTGTCCCACCCACCCATTTTTTTGGGGGGGAGAGATGCAGCCAGTGACCCCTGACTTCTGCAAGGGGAAAAAAATGGCCAGGTATCTGCCTTGCCCTCATTCTGAGACCTGAGAAACCGGGATCCCTGCTGTGACTCTGAGTGTGAGGACAGACCAGGCAGCTGGAGGGGCAGAGGGGGTGGGGGCTGGCTGTGCTCACCACTCGCTCCAGCAGGACAGCTGCTGAGCACCCTGCAAAACTCTTGGAGATCCAGGGCAGGTCTGCTCTGGGTTGGGGTCTCATGGACTTGCACCCTTTGCTCCGAGTCTCCAGCCATCCTAGATTCCCCTCGCACCATCGCCCGCCCCCCCACCCCACCCCAACCTCCCAGTGACTGCCACACACCAGACTCCAATTGCTGGCTGCAGCCTGCGCTTGCCTGTCTGAATGTACCTATCTCTGGAGAGAAACTGGGAGTCTTATGACATCAGCCTCTTCACTCACACCCCCTGCCACTTTGCAGTGTCTCCAGGGAGGCTGCCTTTCCCTGCATCCCACGTCTGAAGGCCAGACGGGTCTGGGCCTCGAGGGGAGGCCCTGGCTCAGCCAGCGTTGGGTCATCACGCGAGGCCTCTGCTCCCGAGACTGCACACGGGGTGGCTATATCGCACAGTTTCAGAAGCACTTGCTATGTGGGTTCAGCCCAAATCTCTCCTCACAGGGCCCTGTGAGCAGGCACAGGGACCCTCCCGGGGGCTGAGTTACTGACTGGGCAGAAGGGGGTGGTTGTGGTGGGGGGGCGGGGGGTGCTCTGTACACAGCTTTATTCTTAGAGCAGCTACTTCCTCATCAAATATGCTTACGTGTCCTCTACTCCAAGAATAAAACCGCGGGTGGTCAGTCCATTGGTTTTATTTTTCCAAGACATTTTTAGCACAAAATTAATCAGGTCAGCTGACTTTCTCCTGAGTCATCATTTCAAATAGAGACATTGTATCTCTGCCACCCTACCTTCGCGTTAGCCAGTCCCGGGCCCTGAGTTTGGGGGCGCTCACAGGGGCCTTCCTCCGGTTCACAAGGCCTGGTTTTAAGGCCAGGGAGGGGCGTGGGGCTGAAGACAGAGATCAGTGGTACTGCAGCCCGTCTGCGCGGAGCAGTCTTCTAGGGACTTTCTTTTCCCGTTCCCTGCCTGCCAGCCTTCTGGAACCGACTGGGAGAGGTGCTCCATGGGCAGGGCTCACACGCAGCTCAGTTCTTCTTGGGGACAGCAGAGGGACCCCCTGGGACCCTGCTCTGAGTACTCAGCAACATCCCCTTTCCAGAAAGAGACGAGATGTGGCCCAGTTGCCCTCAAACACACCTTTCTCTGTGTACTCCCGCCTGGCTTTCGGCAGGACGTTGTCCATCTGCGTGGTCACCTACTTTTTGTGGACACCGCAGCCCCAAACTCACATGCAGGGGAAGCCAGAGCACAGCTTGGCTCCGGTGGCTCAGATGTACGTGGTTCCCCGTGGGCCATGGGAAGAATCACTGGAAGCACCGTTTCATGTGGAAGGCCTGTGTGGTGGGAGCTCTGGTCGGAGGGCGAGACCTCACCTGCCCTCCTCGAGGTTTCTCAGGCGGAAGCTGGGGAACCTGGGTACAGAGAAGGAAGAGCAGCTAGGAGAGTGCAGTGGAGGTGGTACCACAAGGGAAATGCAAACGAGAGTGGAGGTGGAAGCTGGTGGCTGCAGGATGGAGCAGCAGACGTTTTTCCCCAACGCAGAAGGGGGCCCAGGGCAACAAGATCGTTAGGACAGCCCGGGGACAGGAGTGGGGGGGGCGGGGCTCAGTTTGCCCCGCCCCACGCCAGGCCACCTGCACAGCAGCAGAGATGGCTCTGAACTTCCGGTGAAGGGAGCACTTCGGCAGCTTCCAGGACATCACTCGGACCTCTCGGTGCCCGCCTGGAGCAGAAGGACCACAGGCCAGCTGCAGAAGAAAGCCATCGCTCTGTGAAGTCTGAATGTTGCAGAGACGGCAGCATGTGCCAGATCAGCGCCACAGTGGAGAGGAGCAGAAAATTATTCCTAGACGTTGTCATTAAAAGTCAAAAGAGTTTACGGACAAAGTACAAAGCTGAGTCTTCTCTGACCAGCGGCTTCGTTATTTCAAAGATGCAGCAGCACCAGCAGAGCTATTGCCGCTGAAAAAAACGGCAAACGTATTGCTGCCGGATTCCACCAAACGTGTGTGCGATGAACCATTTCGGACAGCACCTGTCCTCTCGGAGCGGTGCCGACAGCCCGGGCGGGCAGAGCTCGTCTGTCTTGGAGCGCGCTCAGTGCTTTCTCAGCAAGTGCTGGTGAAGCGCTTTCCCTGAAATGGAGGCTTTGGTTATTTTTGACGCCAGCAGGAGGCCCCGGAGTGCCCACAGTTATCTGCAGGGTGCTTCTGGAGGCCCGTTTTGTGTGTATGCGCTCAGGAGTCTCATTTCATTTTTTTTTTTATTTTGAGGGGTTTTTTTTTTTTTAATTTTTGAATCTCCAATGGAAGATGATTTCAAAGTCACTGACTTCCCTGAGAAAGCAGAGGACTCCTGTCGCCGGACCAAAACAAAGCGTCTCCTGAGCGACCGGGGCTCCCATGGTGTCTCGCCGTCCTTTGCCTGCCTGTCAGACAACATCACGGAAACTAGACTCAGGCGCCAGGGGAATGGAGCTCCACCTCCAAGGCCGGTTCACAACGCTGTGGGTCTGTGGGAGGCCCTTTCAGGACTTTCCAGGCCTGGGTTCTGTTCAAGGTCTCACATCAAGTACAGCAGGGAGAGGAGGGCGACCGTCACCCAGGCGCACAAGTGGAGGTGGAGGGGAAGTGCCCACAGCCCGGAGGAATGACGTGCACTGCGGTGGCCCTTTGTCAGGGAGGACCCTGTGTCCCCAGAAGGCCACCAAGTGCAATTGTGAAGATGATGATGATTTTCTGGAAGATGAGGGAGATCGCCCTGGGCTGGTTTATTTTGTAAAATGAAATCATCTGTGTTCTGCTCTCTGGGAGATGAGGTAGCCAGCAAACTCTCTCTCCTTTACGGAAAACAGCGCAGGGCAAGCTGGTTTCAGTGTCCCCGAGAGAGACGCAGCCCCGAGGAGCCTCGCGCCACCACCGGCCTCAGCACTTGGCTAGTGTTCTGAGTGAAACACTGGAGTCATCAAAAAGGGGCCCGTTCAGGAGATCCCATGGAAGGAGCTTCCTCTTTTAAGTTCAAAAAAGAGGTCGCCCTGAAGCGGTGACTGTACTTGCTGAAAGAGAACTGAGAGGGTCCTGGCTGCCTGCCGGTCCCAGGTGACCTAGGCGGTGACGCGCCAGCATCCTGAGCACCCGCTGAGGGAGAGGACCGCCTTCCTTCTGCTCTGCCTGGACAGTGAGCGGCCCTGCCCTCAGAGGGGCACCCAGTGTCACTTCAGATTTTGCCGGCTTTTATCCCAATTTATTATTCATGGGACTATAATGCCCTGCAAATTCCCATTGTTCCTGCCCGTGATACATAACAGTTTAGACAAATATTGGAAGTGGAAAGTTAATTGATTTTTCATGTTTGAATTCCATCCATTGGCACCAAGGAGCAGAATATCTAATCTAGTTCACAGGCAAGACCAAAGCATTCACTGTACTTAAACGGTTGTGGGCGAGAGAGAAATTCATCTCTAAAGTTAACACCGAGAAATAGATCCCAGAGTTGATAGATGAGCAGAGTGCTTTGGAAATAGGCCTATCGTTCACGGGTAGCCTTTCTTGGGAAATTACTGTCGTGGCATCAAAAAGAGACGGGGAAAAAACAACAACTTCCATCAGGACGCCGTCAGTCTTGCAGCGAGAGCCAAAGAGCCGAGCGCATCGCCAGCCCGAGGAGGCCCTGCTGCGGCGGCTCCAAAGGCCCTCATCTCACCGCGTCTTCCTCCGGCTCCTTCCTCCGGCTCCTTCGGAGAGTTGGACGACAGTTTAATTAGCAAAGTGGGCGCAGTGCTTTTTAATTCATTTTACTTATTTTATTTTAATGATTTCTAATTTCTGGCTTGCAGAAGAGTTGCAGGAATCGTCTGAAGAGTTGCCGTAGACCCCATACCCAGAGGCCCTAAACATAACACATTCCTGCATCGGCTGTATCAGTTCGTTCTTTACGTCTCACACACACACACACACACACACGCGCGCACGCGCACACGTGCGTGCGAGTATTTTTTCCCTGAATCCTCTGAGAGTACGTGGCAGGCCTAATGTCTCTTTCTACCTGAATAATTCCGTGTGTGTTCCCTACAACGAAGGGTGCTCCGTGGCGCCGTGCCCTGCTCATCACCGCTCTGCAGTTGCTTGTGCAGAGCCGCGGCTGTCCAGGCGAGGAGCTATTGGACAATCACGCTGCCGGCTGCCTCCCGTGGCATCTAATCAAACCTCTCGGGCGGCGGGCAGGTGCGTTCTCTGCCTTCCCACGGAACCAGAAGCAGGGATGCCAATTAAAAGTGAGATTCACCAGACTCGGAGCCTCACCGGCAATGTCGGAACACTGACCTGCCTGGGGAGACAAGAGCCTCTGCCACATCCGGATGGACTACGGGTAGATTTAAGCCTCGAAACCAGCCCGAGACAGCATTTTCTACTTGCTTAATTAGAAGTGAGAAGTCTTCCTTTTCTTTGATAATTACTCTCCCACATGTGTTTCTGCTTGAAAGAGAAGTGGGAAGAAAGGAGACATGTAAAATAATAATCAGTATAAATAAGCAGCTCTGGGCAAGGCTTGAGGAGCTGCCGAGGTGAGAAGTGGGATGAATGCGGACCCCATGCACCCCAAGTCGTGCGAGCTGACGAGCTCCCGTTGTCAGAAGTAGTGGTTCTGATCACAGCGGTCGCTGAGTCCTCTAAGCTGGTCATTTGTATGAAGAAAGACTGAGCAGAGGGCATGGTGTTGCTCCACAGGATGCAGCCACAGACCCAT